TAAAAAGTAAAATCTTCAGGCCTATAAGATTATTCAACTTGAAAAAATTTTCCTGAATCTCTAAACCAAGAAAAAGAGTGGAAAAAAAATTACGAATCTTTTTTTTTCGTGCTATTACTTTGAATTGTGTGAGAACTATGAGTCTAAAATTTTTTTCATCGGGAGTTTCAAATACTAGAATTTTCTCAAGAAAACTCTTTTTTTTTATCTGGATATTATTTTTACTCAAGCGAAACCCGTCAAAAATTACGACAAAGTTTTAAAATTTTTTTTACTACCTCAATTTTTGTTAGGAATATATTGCTTCAACTAACAATGTCTCTTTTTTGGGTGATTCGTTCCTCTCTTTGGGTTCTTTCGTAGACTTATCGATAAGAAAATGTTATTTTTTTAACGATATTTCATTTTCGGATGAAGAAATTTTTTTTTCACTCTTTCAGGGAGTACCCCATTTTGCCCGCAAAAAAAAAAAATTTTTTTTTCTACGGCAACTTGAAATTTGATTATTTTCCTTTAATTACGACTGAAAACGAGAAAAATCAGCGTATTTAAGTCCTTAAAATCATAACGATTGCTTAAGTACCCCATTTTGCCCCCCCCTCCCCTAATCTTTAAAAATTAAATGAGCGTTATGAGGCGTGCATTTTTAGATTTTTGAAACTTATTAAAACTATTGTAAAAAAATTTCAATAATTTATTAAATATAAATAACTTTTAGTGAAAAAATATAAACATATTAAAATAATTTAAACCTGGTGGAATTTAAACGAGTCTGTTTTTGAAATTTTAAAAACACTTAATTTGTTCATTAAAATAAATATTTCTTGCGGCGGCGATGAAGCAAACGTTTTTTCCCAATCCATAAAATCACATTATCGGCTTTTAATGATCGATTTATCTTTTATCATAAACCCTTTGCACCGTCAGAATATTTTGATTCTTTAGTCGTTCAATTATTATTTTCTCGTTAATTTTATCATGGCAGATCTACCAGTTACTTCAAAAAATATCTAACCCAAAGAATTATTTTTGATAAATTAATTGAATAGCTACTAAAGTAAATTCTAATTTTAATTTTGTTTTTTTATTTTATTTTATCTGAAAACTTTGATGTGGCTTTGGAGTAGAATCATCGTTATTGTAGGTAATGAACATCGCACTTCATTATGAAGTAGGTCATATCCGGTGTTAATAACATCTATTAAATGGGCGTCACCAAAGTATTAGTGGCTGTGATACGTTAAGCTATTCCGTGGATTCATTTATCAATAGATTGTAGTGGGACAATTTTTCAGTTATAAATTCTATCGTTTACAAATATCTATCATCAGTAGTGACAGAACTTCTAAAAAAATGTGAGTACATAAATCTGTTAATTTTTATATAATATCTGATTTTGGTTTGTAATATTTTTTTTTCTTTTTAATTTTTCATAACGATGTGCGTATCGTCTCTGAAATATATTATCTAATATATTTCAGAGAATTTCTAAAAACAAACTCGAGTGTTATATATCATAGATTATACTAGACTAAAGAATTTAAGTAATCAAGCTAACTGGTCTACACTATTAAATATACAAGATCCAGAAGAATTTTTTGATATCTTCAAACTGCAGTTTGAAATTATTAACTTTAGCAGGCTGAACAGTTTGATTTAAGGCTCTGTTCAGTGCAGTAAGTTTGATAAAAGGTCCAATTCAGTGCAGTCAGCTTAAATTAAGGTTTAATTCCGCTTTAGCAGTTCGAAATAATGCTGAAACTTTTTGACTCGGGTCATCAATAAATTAAATTTGCTAATTAAAGACTCTACAAAGATACACGGAGAGAATTTTATATTAACGGTAACCATCCCTATTTTGTAGCTTTTACTATCCAGGATGGTTATTAACTTTTACAAAGTTAAGATGATAAATGCAACTATCCGGCGATTGTAATTAGTACAATCAGTATATATTAATTCCCACAATTATGATGATACGATTTATTATCTAGATGGTAACTTTTATCATCGGAGATAGTTAAAATCATCATGATTGCAATCGTAAAAAAAATAAACAGGAAGTATAAAAAACTAAACTTTTTCGATTTTAGAGTAAAAGTATAATAGCATTCTAATGTTTGACATAAGAATGAGTATTGAGAAAAGTATATCTATATATTAAGAGAATAACAAAAATTTTGTCTCCAGGACAGTCATATGATAAAATCGGTTTTTTTTTAGTGAAATTTAATGTTTTACCTTACACTCATCGAGACCTTTCATTTGAGTACCTACATGCATTTTTCATATATTTTTCATATATATATGTATATATATATGAAAAATTTATGTGGGTACTCAAATGAAAGGTTTCGATGCGTGTAATGTCGGGGTGAGCTTCTATCTTTAAAAATGTCATTAGTTGACAAGATACAATGTAATTTCTTAATTATTGACGTTTTTAAAGATATAAGCT